GGCCCCTGGCACACACTAAAGAGGCCCTGAACAACTTCTAAAAGACACCAAATGGGCAAAGTGGCCCCTGGCACACACTAAAGAGGCCCTAAACAACTTCTAAAAGGCACCAAATGGGCAAAGTGGCCCCTGGCACACACTAAAGAGGCCCTGAACAACTTCTAAAAGGCACCAAATGGGCAAAGTGGTCCCTGGCACACACTAAAGAGGCCCTGAACAACTTCTAAAAGGCACCAAATGGGCAAAGTGGCCCCTGGCACACACTAAAGAGGCCCTGAACAACTTCTAAAAGACACCAAATGGGCAAAGTGGCCCCTGGCACACACTAAAGAGGCCCTAAACAACTTCTAAAAGGCACCAAATGGGCAAAGTGGCCCCTGGCACACACTAAAGAGGCCCTAAACAACTTCTAAAAGGCACCAAATGGGCAAAGTGGCCCCTGGCACACACTAAAGAGGCCCTAAACAACTTCTAAAAGGCACCAAATGGGCAAAGTGGCCCCTGGCACACACTAAAGAGGCCCTGAACAACTTCTAAAAGGCACCAAATGGGCAAAGTGGCCCCTGGCACACACTAAAGAGACCCTGAACAACTTCTAAAAGGCACCAAATGGGCAAAGTGGCCCCTGGCACACACTAAAGAGACCCTGAACAACTTCTAAAAGGCACCAAATGGGCAAAGTGGCCCCTGGCACACACTAAAGAGGCCCTGAACAACTTCTAAAAGGCACCAAATGGGAAAAGTGGCCCCTGGCACACACTAAAGAGGCCCTAAACAACTTCTAAAAGGCACCAAATGGGCAAAGTGGCCCCTGGCACACACTAAAGAGGCCCTGAACAACTTCTAAAAGGCACCAAATGGGCAAAGTGGCCCCTGGCACACACTAAAGAGGCCCTAAACAACTTCTAAAAGGCACCAAATGGGCAAAGTGGCCCCTGGCACACACTAAAGAGGCCCTAAACAACTTCTAAAAGGCACCAAATGGGCAAAGTGGCCCCTGGCACACACTAAAGAGGCCCTAAACAACTTCTAAAAGGCACCAAATGGGCAAAGTGGCCCCTGGCACACACTAAAGAGGCCCTAAACAACTTCTAAAAGGCACCAAATGGGCAAAGTGGTCCCTGGCACACACTAAAGAGGCCCTAAACAACTTCTAAAAGGCACCAAATGGGCAAAGTGGCCCCTGGCACACACTAAAGAGACCCTGAACAACTTCTAAAAGGCACCAAATGGGCAAAGTGGCCCCTGGCACACACTAAAGAGGCCCTGAACAACTTCTAAAAGGCACCAAATGGGAAAAGTGGCCCCTGGCACACACTAAAGAGGCCCTAAACAACTTCTAAAAGGCACCAAATGGGCAAAGTGGCCCCTGGCACACACTAAAGAGGCCCTGAACAACTTCTAAAAGGCACCAAATGGGCAAAGTGGTCCCTGGCACACACTAAAGAGGCCCTAAACAACTTCTAAAAGGCACCAAATGGGCAAAGTGGCCCCTGGCACACACTAAAGAGGCCCTGAACAACTTCTAAAAGACACCAAATGGGAAAAGTGGCCCCTGGCACACACTAAAGAGGCCCTGAACAACTTCTAAAAGGCACCAAATGGGCAAAGTGGCCCCTGGCACACACTAAAGAGGCCCTAAACAACTTCTAAAAGGCACCAAATGGGCAAAGTGGCCCCTGGCACACACTAAAGAGGCCCTAAACAACTTCTAAAAGGCACCAAATGGGCAAAGTGGCCCCTGGCACACACTTAAAGAGACCCTAAACAACTTCTAAAAGCACCAAATGGGCAAAGTGGCCCTGGCACACACTAAGGAGACCTAAACAACTTCTAAAAGGCACCAAATGGGCAAAGTGGCCCCTGGCACACACTAAAGAGGCCCTGAACAACTTCTAAAAGGCACCAAATGGGAAAAGTGGCCCCTGGCACACACTAAAGAGGCCCTGAACAACTTCTAAAAGGCACCAAATGGGCAAAGTGGCCCCTGGCACACACTAAAGAGGCCCTGAACAACTTCTAAAAGGCACCAAATGGGCAAAGTGGCCCCTGGCACACACTAAAGAGGCCCTAAACAACTTCTAAAAGGCACCAAATGGGCAAAGTGGCCCCTGGCACACACTAAAGAGGCCCTAAACAACTTCTAAAAGGCACCAAATGGGCAAAGTGGCCCCTGGCACACACTAAAGAGGCCCTAAACAACTTCTAAAAGGCACCAAATGGGCAAAGTGGCCCCTGGCACACACTAAAGAGGCCCTAAACAACTTCTAAAAGGCACCAAATGGGCAAAGTGGCCCCTGGCACACACTAAAGAGGCCCTGAACAACTTCTAAAAGACACCAAATGGGCAAAGTGGCCCCTGGCACACACTAAAGAGGCCCTAAACAACTTCTAAAAGGCACCAAATGGGCAAAGTGGCCCCTGGCACACACTAAAGAGGCCCTAAACAACTTCTAAAAGGCACCAAATGGGCAAAGTGGCCCCTGGCACACACTAAAGAGGCCCTGAACAACTTCTAAAAGACACCAAATGGGCAAAGTGGCCCCTGGCACACGCTAAAGAGGCCCTAAACAACTAGGTATTTTTAATTATTAAAATGTGAGTCAGGCACTAAAAGGGTTAAGTGGATGCAATGACTCAGAAAAGCTGCAGCTCAATATAAGCAAGTGTGCCTGTAGCTTAGCAGCCACCAGTCTGAGGTAAACCTCAGTGGGAGAAAGGTCTCAGTCTGTGAGAGAAGCCTCACAGTGTGAGGTAGGCCTCATTATGAGAAGGCCTCGAATGTGAAGCTCCATTTTGTGTAGTTCTTGTAATTGGTACAACTATATTATTTTACTACAAAGAAAAGCCTTCTATGGAAGAGATCACATTGGTCTCTGTGTTTTTGTTCTTTCTATCACTTTGGGCTACTGAAGCCAGATCACACTGCTGATAAGTTACTCTGCTGTGTATTTAGGAGAAGGGTCTTTTGTTAATAAGCTCATTCGCCCAACAATTACCTGGTATTTTCTAACTGATAGCAGAGTTAATACCTCTGGTCTAACCACCTGTAAAACAGTTGTTAATGCAATGGGAATAGTAGAAAGGTTGTAGTTATACTGAAGGAAGGATGGGTTGGAGAATGTTTTGGAGAACTGCTGCTGTGAGTAGTGAGGAAGAAGAAACTCTAAAAGTTGTATATTTTGTATATACTTTGTATGCTGCTGCAAGAAAGGAGAAAGAAAAAGCCTTCCTGTTTATTTGGGAAAGAATAAAATCTTTGTGTGTTTTGTATAAATATGTGAGAGGAAGCCACAGAGAGGAGGGAGCAAGCTTGTTTTCTGCTTCCTTGGAGACTAGGACGCAATGGAACAATGGCTTCAAACTACAAGAGAGGAGATTCCACCTGAGGAAGAACTTCCTAATGGTGAGTGAGCTGTTCAGCAGTGGAACTCTCTGCCCCGGAGTGTGGTGGAGGCTCCTTCTTTGGAGACTTTTAAGCAGAGGCTGGATGGCCATCTGTCAGGGGTGATTTGAATGCAAAATTCCTGCTTCTTGGCAGAATGGGGTTGGACTGGATCGGCCCATGAGGTCTCTTCCAACTCTTGGATTCTAGGATTCTATGTTGTTCAAGTAGAAGACAACTCATTATGGGGTTGGACTGGATAGCCCATAAGGTCTCTTCCAACTCTTTGATTCTATGATTCTATGATTCATTACAACTTTTGGATACCTGGCTTCTTAACCAGAACTAACAGAGGCACATCTGCAAAAAAGAGAGGGTTTTATGTCTGCATAGAACCCTTGACATCAAATCCAGAGTTTCGTGCACATTTTTTATTTGCAACTTTCTTTCTGTGATGCATTGACCAGGTATTCAAATTTAATTCCAAGACACTCTTGCAAGTGACTCAACTTTGCCAAGGGGGTTCTGCAAATGCTTGACACCCAGGAGGGAGGCCCTTACCTGAGGCCAGGTGCCTGACCACCAGGCGGTGACATGGGCTCCAGTGCCCGGCCTTGAAGAGGTGCAGGGCCTCCAGCGGGGTGTCCCCCTCCCTCCGGGCATGGGTGGCCTTGGCCTCGTGGATCCACTCAGGCGGGAGGCACAGCTTCTCCGTCAGGAAGGCCTCCTTCTCCCACGAGTCGGGCGTCTCCACCAGCTGGCAGTGGCGGCCCAGCACTTCGCGCACGGCCCTCTCGCGCAGCCTGCAGCGGGAAGCAAGACGTTAATGCTCTCATGGGAAACCAAGCCCTATGAGGAATGGCTGTGGGAGTCCCGAATGTGGAGCTTGAAGGAGAGAAGGTTACGTGGAGACATGGAAGCAAGATCCAAATATCTGGTAGGAGCTCACATTGAGGAGAAGGGGCAAAGCTTGCTTTCTGTGGCTCCAAAGAGGACACAATGGAGTCACAGATTCCAATTGCAGGAAAAAAAGATGACAATCAATGCCGTTTCCTAACTGCTTCTATCATAAAGACATAGGAAAAGTTTATTGAACTGCACAAACTTTGTCCTTGAGGGGACGGACATCCTGCTGCAGCACATTTTGCTCTAGTTTTTGCTCAAGTTTCAACCAATTCATTCTGCTCGAGTCTCAACCTCATTTGTGGCAGCCATAAACTTTCTCAAGGATAGTAACCGCATTTTCCGGTGTACTAGACGACTTTTTAAGCCTGGAAACTTTTATGAAAAGTCGGGGGTCATCTAGTACGCCAGGTATAAATTGTTATTATTATTATTAATAATCTATATAAATAAAAATGTAATGTTCGTTTGTGGGATTAACAGAACTCAAAAACCACTGGATGAATTGACACCAAATTTGGACACAAGACACCTAACAACCCAATGTATGTCCTTCACTCAAAAAAATTGATTTTGTCATTTGGGAGTTGTAGTTGCTGGGATTTATAGTTCACCTACAATCAAAGAGCATTCTGAACCCCACCAACGATGGAATTGAATCAAACTTGGCACACAGAACTCCCATGACCAACAGAAAATACTGGAAGGGTTTGGTGGGCATTGACCTTGAGTTTTGGGAGTTGTAGTTCACCTACATCCAGAGAGCACTGTGGACTCAAACAATGATGGATCTTGGCACAAATACTCAATATGCCCAAATGTGAACACTGATGGAGTTTGGGCCCACAAGCACCCCCACACCCACACTTACTGGGCGCTGGGGGTGTGGAGCAGCACAAAGACGGCCCACTCCCAGAGGCCCTGGCTCTCCAGCTGGGCGGCATAGCTGGCGTTGAGGACCCCTTGGCACTGCTCCGAGAGGTGCGTGTAGTTCAGGGCCCGCAGCGCCTCCCAGAGGTGCCAGCTCAGGCGGTGGTCCAGGGGGTCGGCCGTGACACTCCGGGGGTCCAGCAGCTGGTGCAGGTCGTAGCACCTGCAAGAGGGGCACAGGACTCACATTATTGTTGGAGCGCACACACATACACACATGCATGCAGTCGTTAAAAAGATCCTGACCAAAGGAGAAGACATGCCACAGGCTTGGAGAAACCAAGCGGGTTTTACTGTAAGGCAGGCATGAGCAAACATCAGCGCTCCCTCCAGGAGTTTTGGACTTCAACTCCCACAATTCCCAACAGCCAGCTGTTAGGAATTGTGGGAGTTGAAGTGTTATGATAAAAATAATGTATAGTTTGAGTGAGATTGTATGAAAGGGATACGGATGCGGCCTAATTGGGCTGAAGATACCATTCTAAGGAATGAGGCCTGGAAACCTACAAGAAACAGGTGAAGAACTCATGGACTGTAATTAAAAATTGCTGATGAGACTTGAAACAAATGATTAACTGTTGACATTGCTGACTTGATGAACTCTTGGTGGAAAAACAACTTGTTTACGTTGCCAAAGACAATGGTTCTTTTAAGTAAGGAAGTCAAGACTGTGGCTCCTTGACAGAAATGTTTACAAGGCTCCTTGATAAGGAAAGCCAATTAAACAAAATCAACATCTGTCCAGGAACTGATGGAATCTGTCTGTCAGTAATTTACAACTTTCAGAACCACATCAACAGAAAATACTACATAAAAGGACCCTTGTGTGTGTCAGACCAACTGAACACCATTTCTGAACACCATCATGAACAGCCGCCTCCTCTCAAGAAGCTGATCATCTTCAACAAGAAGAATGGTAAGAATGCTTGAGGAATGAATTGTTAGAGTATATGTGTCAATATACTCTTAATGAGACATGCCGCATTATCACGGGGTGTCTACGCCCTACACCACTGGAGAAATTACACTGCTTAGCCGGTATTGCACCACCTGACATCCGCCGGGAAGTAGCAGCCAATAGTGAAAGGACCAAGGCAGAGACATCTCCAGCTCATCCCCTGTTTGGGTATCAGCCAGCACGTCAACAACTTAACCAAGAAATAGTTTTCTAAGATCTACAGAGACACTCGCTGGAACACCTCAGCAAGCGAGAGTCCAAAAGTGGCAGGCTCAAACCCAGAACCTCAACCAATGGCTGATACCAAATGAGAGACTCCCCCCTGGGCACACAGAAGACTGGGCGACTTGGAAGGCGCTGAACAGACTGCGCTCTGGCACCACGAGATGCAGAGCCAACCTCAAGAAATGGGGCCACAAAGTGGAATCCACGACATGCGAGTGTGGAGAAGAGCAAACCACTGACCACCTGCTGCAATGCAACCTGAGCCCAGCCACATGCACCATGGAGGACCTTCTTGCAGGAACACCAGAAGCACGCCAAGGGGCCAGAGACTGGTCAAAGGACATCTAATAGACTGCCAAGCTTGCAAATCTTGTGTTTTGTTTGTCTGTTTGTTTGTTTAAAAATGCAATGCAACAGTTTGGTCTGCCCCTGACACAATAAATAAATAAATAAACATATGAAGGGAAGGAATAGAATCATAGAATCAAAGAGTTGGAAGAAGGAAGGAAGGAAGGAAGGAAGGAAGGAAGGAAGGAAGGAAGGAAGGAAGGAAGGAGATAATCTGTGTGTGATTACTCCCTGGGGTCCAGAGTTCAGGATCTGAGTTGCAGGGGAGAGAACAGAAATGGGAAGCAAGTGCTCACCTGTCGCTGTAGAGTTTGAGGAGGTGGAAGCAGACGTCTCGCAGTGCGTGTTGTGCATCCCCTTCCTCCACGAGGCATCCGGAATCTTCCAAATAGGGAGGCAGTGGGGGGCAGGCATATTTCTCGTTCTCTGGAGCGTCCTGAGGGGCGCAAGGGCAGCACAACGGGTCACAGATGGAGGCGGCTTTACTATTTCTATTTGTAGCCCACTTTCTCTCTCTCTCAAAAAACTCCCTTTTTTACAGTAAAACCAATACAATGCAATGGAGGGCCCACTGAACATGACCAACTGATGGGGCCCTGGCTCTTCCTCCTTCACAGAATTAGGAGAAAATATTACAATTGAGAGGATGCAAAGCAGGAACTCAGGGGTGGAAGTGTCTTATAAAGTCTTAGGATGCTCCTGCATCATCATCATCATCATCATCATCATTTGTATCCTGATTTTATGTCTCAATCCAGGTGCAAAACAAACGAATTTGACTTCAATTTAATCTGTTTTAATGTTTGTGTATCTGTAGATTTTAAATCGTATTGAAATTTATTTATTTATTTATTTACTGCATTTATATGCCACCCTTCTCACCCCGAAGAGGACTCAGAGCAGCTTACAAGATTATATATATATATATATATATATATTTATACACACACACACACACACACACACACACACACACATATATACATGTGTATACATACATACACACATGTATATATATGTATATACATACATACACACAAACATACATACATAACAATATATTAAATTATTAGCATAGTACAATATCAGTATTATATATTACTTTATTGTACTACACCATTATGTTGTAATATAATGTAATATTATTAGTAGTACATCTGGTGGGGACGGGCCTTCTCAGTGGTGGCCCCTCGGCTGTGGGATGCCGTTCCTACAGAAATTAGTTCGGTCCCCTCCCTGTTGACATTTTGGAGGAAAGTGAAGACCTGGTTGTTCGAACAGGCATTTGAATATGTTGTAGTACAGCATGCTAGTAACGTTCCTACTACTGGTAGAAGGGAGAAGAGGGCTGCGCAGGTGTTGGAGGAGGAGCAGCAGCAGCGAAAGCAGATTAGAGACATATTCATGGCTCCAACTGATTCCGAATCCTTCGAGGGTTTATCAAACTGTGAAATGGGGGAAGGAGAGGAAAGCAGGGGAGTTAAGCGGGCTACTCGTGAACAAGAATCTGATGAGGAGCTCCAAAGGAAGCGTATCCGTGATATACTTAGCGCTCCAACTGAAGATGAAGATTTTATGGGTTTTGAAAGGAGTGATGGGACTGGGAGTGACAGTGAGGAGGAGGGTGATTTGGACTGGACCCGTGTGCAGGAGATTAGGGACATCTGTACTCAGCCTACCTCCAGTGATGACTTTGAGGGGTTTGCAGAAGAGTGGCAATCGGGGAACACTTGGGAGGACCCAAGTCTTGACAGACGCTGGCAAAGGTGGAGAAATGGGCGTCAGTGCTCAGCTGCAGGGAATGGGGCAGCTGAAAGGGATGAGGAAAGGGTGGGGAGCAGTTCATCCTCTGATGAGGAGCTTTAGGATATAAGTGGGTTTGGTTTCAATGGGTCTTTGCAGAAGGCAAAGTGTCTTTTCGGGTGTGTATCTTTGTCCTTGCCATTACTCTCAAGCTTGGGTCCTTGGACTACAGATCTTCGTGTTTCCGTGACTTCTGGCTGATACTTCGTAAGTGCTGACTACAACTCTCCCTGTTTGACTCCGGACTGTGTTTTGACAATGACTTTGCTTTTTGGACTGCTTCTTCTTACTTCGGATGTGCTTGGACTACGGACTGCCTTTGGACTCTGATTTTGCTTGCTCCCACATTGTTTTTTGGTGCCTTTTGGACATTTTGAATTACAAGCAGACTGCTGTATATTTTCGTTATCCCAGATTATACTCCGGGATAATCCGGATTATATTTAAATTGAGTTTTTCACGTAGCGGTCGCTATAGACTTTTAGTTTGTGCTAGAGACACTGAAGCAAGTGTCTCTAAAGCCTTTTTGTGTTCAATAAACCTGTGTTTGGACCTTTTATATTGTGTTTGGCGTTCTTGAGGCTTCTGGGTCTTGACAGAATAGGCAGTGTAACCAACATAGTAATATGGAACAATTGGATCACACTCACCTGGAAGGCGTCTTCGTAGAGGGCCAGGGCCCGGGAAAGGGGCGCCGTGGAGGGCAGCAGGTACCAGAGGTGGATGCCCAGGCACCGCTTCCAGTCCAGCTGGGAACAGACGTTGAGGCTTCTCCTCTCGGACAAGCGCCACACCTGCAAAGGGGAAGCAAGAAGGTCAAGCTGGGCCAGAGCCAAGGAGAAAGGCCGCCTGCTTGGGCTCCCTCTCCCTCTGCAAAGCCTTGCGAGAGAAGCAGCGGAGGCACAGTGCGCCAGACTCACCGGCTTCCCGGCTAAGAGGGCGTAGATGTTCAGCCTCTCCTCCTGGATGAAGCAGTCGGCCTGGAGCTGGTGCCAGTCGGCCAACTGAAGGGCCAAGAGCTCACGCACTTCTTGGCTCCCAACCAGCTGGGAAAGGAGCAGTGCCAACCGGTGGTCCCCTAAAACACAAGATTTATTTATTATTATTTATTTATTTGCTTTACTTCTATACCGCCTTTCTCAGCCAGAATGGCGACTCAAGGCGGTTTACATAGTAAAGGTTATCATAACAATATCAAAGAAGACAATTAAAAACACATCATACAAGATATACAGATCAAAACAATCATTATCATAAGCCTCAGCAAACAAATCAGAATCCGTAATCATAATCCTATACCAATTCCTATGTTCGGTTGTACCATCTTCATGTATTCATTGCACTATTTAGCCAAACGCTTGTTCGTAAAGCCAAGTCTTGACCTTCCTCCGGAATGCCAGCAGTGAAGGGGCCTGTCTGATGTCCACAGGTAGGGCATTCCACAGCCGAGGGGCCACCACCGAGAAGGCCCTGTCCCTCGTCCCCGCCAACCGCGCCTGCGATGCAGGTGGGACCGAGAGCAGGGCCTCCCCAGACGATCTTAATGTCCTAGTCGGTTCATAGGTGGAGATGCGTTCGGAGAGGTAAGTAGGGCCAGAACCGTTTAGGGCTTTATAGGCTAAAGCCAGCACCTTGAATTGTGCCCGGTAGCAGATTGGCAGCCAGTGGAGCTGGCGCAGCAGAGGAGTGGTGTGCTCCCTGAGTGCCGCTCCTGTTAGTAACCTGGCTGCCGAACGTTGGACCATTTGAAGCTTCCGAGCAGTCTTCAAGGGCAACCCCACGTAGAGAGCGTTGCAGTAGTCTAAGCGGGATGTAACCAGAGCGTGGACTACCGTGGCCAAGTCAGACTTCCCAAGGTACGGGCGCAGCTGGCGCACGAGTTTTAACTGTGCGAATGCTCCCCTGGTCACCGCCGAAACCTGGGGTTCCAGGCTCAGCGATGAGTCCAGGATCACACCCAAGCTGCGAACCTGCGTCTTCAAGGGGAGTGCGACCCCATCCAACACAGGCTGTAACCCTATGCCCTGTTCGGCCTTGCGACTGACCAGGAGTACCTGGCCAAGATGTTGATGATGATGATGATTATTATTATTATTAATTTCCTTCAAACTTCCCAAGGAACAGGTGCAGCTGGCGCACAAGAGTGCCTTTTTAAAACATACTTCTCATGCTGTTGTGGTATTTATGGAGTGGAACAACTACTTTCAAAGTAACTGCTGCACAACTGAACAGGAAATAACACTTTCAAACCAGGAAGAGATTTTTTTTCTCCAAATTTTGTTACCTAGTGTAATCCCTCTGAGGAGGAAGAAGCTTAATGAGCTAGGTATGTTTAGCTTGGAGACGAGAGGGTTAAAAGAGGACAGGATGGCCATATTTAACTACCTGAAAGGAGGTCACATTTGAGGACGTTTGTTTTCTGCTGCTCTAGGGACTGGGAGACTGTGACCAGACTGTGCAGACTGTGGCCAGGAAATCAGAAGACGCCTACTTCTTGGGAGGAGAGCAATGTCCAATCTCGATAAAATAGTAAAGAGTAGAGACATCAGACTGGCAACAAAGATCCATTGCCTTGTCAAAGCCATGGTATTCCCTGTAGTAACCTACGGATGTGAGAGCTGGACCTTAGGGAAGGCTGAGCGAAGGAAGATCGATGCTTTTGAGCTGTGGTGTTGGAGGAAAGTTCTGAGAGTGCCTTGGACTGCGAGAAGATCCAACCAGTCCATCCTCCAGGAAATAAAGCCCGACTGCTCATTGGAGGGAAGGATACTAGAGACAAAGTTGAAGTACTTTTGGCCACATCATGAGGAGACAGCAAAGCCTAGAGAAGACAATTATGCTGGGGAAAGTGGAAGGCAAAAGGAAGAGGGGCCGACCAAGGGCAAGATGGATGGATGGCATCCTTGAAGTGACTGGACTGACCTTGAGGGAGCTGGGGGTGGTAACGGCCGAAAGGGAGCTCTGGCGTGGGCTGGTCCATGAGGTCACGAAGAGTCGGAGACGACTGAACGAATGAACAACAACAGACTGGGAAATAACGGAGCAATGGATCATTCAGATGGCGGGAACATAGATTCCACGTCAACATTAAGAAGAACTTCCTGATGCTAAGAGTTGACTGGCAGGGGAATGGGCTCCCTAGGAGGCTCTTTAAGCAGAAGCTAGATAGCCATCATTTGAGAGGGCACCAATTGTGGCAGAAAGGGGTTGGACTGGAGGGCCAGTGGGGCCCTATGGCTCTCACCGGAGTTCTGTGCCAGGCGGCAGGCTTCCTTGATCTGCTTCCCGGTGAGGTGGCTGAAGACGGCTTCCGGGGGGTTGCTGTTCTGGCTGAGGGCCACCTCCTGCCGGATCCGCTCGGCCGCGGTGCGGGAGAGCCAGCGGGAGAAGGCCTTCCTGCGCTCCAGGGACTGGATGTACTCCGTGGGGCTGCCCAGGCAGGCCTCCAGCTCCTTCAGGCGGCCCCACAGCGCCTCGCACAGGCTCCAGACCAGGCCCCAGGCCTTCACCACCCCTGGGAAGAAAGAGAGAGAGAGAGAGATGGGCTTTGGTTCTTTCTGAGTCTCTTCCTAGAAAGTGGTGCTCCGCGAGATCTTGAAAGAGATCTACCCACTCCTCATTGTGTGGTGTGAATGACATGGTGTGGATTAGGGCAGTGGTTCTCAACCTTCCTAATGCCGTGACCCCTTAATATAGTCCCTCATGTGGTGGTGACCCCCAACCATAACATTGTTTTTGTTGCTACTTGATACCTGTCATTTTACTACTGTTATAAATCACAATGTAAATATCAGATATGCAAGATGTATTTTCATCCACTGGACCAAACTGGGCACAAATACCCAATGCACCCACATGTAAATGCTAGTGGGGTTGGGGGAGGATTGATTTTGTAATTTGGGAGTTGTAGTTGCTGGGATTTATAGTTCACCTATAATCAAAGAGCATTCTGAACTCCACCAGCAATGGATTTGAAACCTAATTTGCCACACAGAACTCCCATGGCCAACACTGGAAAGGTTTGGTGGGTATTGACCTTGAGTTTGGGAGTTGTAGTTCACCTATATCCAGAGAATACTGTGGACTCACGCAATGCTGGATCTGGACCAAACTTGGCACAAATACTCAATATGTTAATGGATGACCTTCTGTCAGGGGTGATTTGAATGCAATATTCCTGCTTCTTGGCAGAATGGGGTTGGACTGGATGGCCCATGAGGTCTCTTCCAACTCTTTGATTCTATGATTCTATGATTCTATGCGCAAATGTGAACACTGGTGGAGCCTGGGGAAAATAGACCTTGACTTTTGGGAGTTGTAGTTGCTGGGATTTATAGTTCATTACAATCAAAGAACATTCTGAACTCCACCAACGATAGAATTGGCTCAAACTTCCCACATGGAATCCCCATGACCATCAGACAATGCTGTGTTTTCTGATGGTCTTTGGCGACTCCTCTGACACCCCTTCGCGACCCCCTCAGGGGTCCCGACCCCCAGGTTGAGAAACACTGCATTAGGGTCTGGCTAGGGCTTGCCAAGATTGAAGACACCATCCTAAGACATTTGGAACCTGGAAAACTGCATTATGGAGAAACAAAGGAGGGGAAGAAAAGTGCTGACAAAGGAAAACGATTAAACTGCTGACAGAACTGATCTGAGAACTTTTTTAGTGCAGACAGGACATGTTTACATGGTCAGAAACAACAATCCTCTAAGTTAAGGAAGTCAAAAACAATGCTTCTTGTGTTGAGGAAGAAAAACACTATCTGGGTTGCTGTGAGTTTTCTGGGCTGTCTGGCCATGTTCCAGAAGCATTTTTTCCTGGGAGTGTATATATCTGTGGAATGTCCAGTGTGGGAGAAAGAACTCTTGTCTGCTTGAGGCAAGTGTGAATGTTGCAATTGGACAGCTTGATTTGCACTGAATGGTTTTGCAGCTTCAAAGCCGGTCTGCTTCCTGCCTGGGGGAATCCTTTGTTGGGAAGTGTTAGCTGGCCCTGATTGTTTCCTGTCTGGACCCACCCTGGACATTTTACAGTTATATAAACCTCACTTGCCTAGTCTCACAACCTCTGAGGATACCTGCCATAGATGTGGGTGCAATGTCAGGAGATAGTGCTTGGGGCTGTTCAGAAAAGTACAAATGAGTTGCTACACTCGGAAAACCTTATCCCCAAACCCAGGCTGTCCTATAAATCAATGCAAACAAAAGGATAGAGATAAGATTGGGAGCACACCTTCACGCTGCTCTTCCATGACCCCAATGAGGCAGGAGCCACATCTAAAGGTTCATTTCTGGTTTCCCTCCACACCAGACTCCCTTGACACCGGACGTCCGGCCGCAGGCTCACCTTCGCTTTCCTCGGGGTCTCCGCAGACCTCTGCAGTCCAGGCCGCGTACTCATGGATGGCGGCCACGCCAGGGTTGGGGGTCAGAAGCGGGCAGGGCTCCTCCAGGTGGACCGTGCTGTGCGCCAGCTTGATCTCCAAGGGCGCCAGGTACAAGGGCAGGTCCTCCTCGGAAGACTCTCCTTCCAAGGTCAGCTTCTCTATGTGGACTTTGAAGGGGGACTCTGAGAGCCTGTGGAGAAAAAGCCAGGCAGGCCTCAGGAAGGGGAAAGCAGCAGGCACCTCCATGGAGTTGTAAAGAGGAGCAGGTGGAGTCAAGAAATCACTCTGGTCAACTGTCCAGAAACTCCATTGGGGACTGTCCTGATTTGCCCTTCAAAAACCAGCCTTAATACAACGTTGAAAGTAGAAGAAAAATGCTTTACTTCAGCAAACACAAAGGATCACCAAAGGTAGTTGAAAAATGCAAATGAAATCAAGGAAGTCTTAAGGCAGACACAAAATTAAAGTCTCTTATAAAATCCCAAAAGAAACAGGAGTCTTACATCCGACAACAGGCAATGATCACTAAATCCTCAGAAGCAGACTTGAAGTAGGTTCCACTGGAGCAGTGGTTCTCAACCTGGGGTCCTCAGATGTTTTTGGCCTACAACTCCCAGAAATCCCAGCTGTTAGGATTTCTGGGAGTTGTAGGCCAAAAACATCTGGGGACCCCAGGTTGAGAACCACTGCATTAGAGTAAAAACATCAGCATCAGAGTTATTACCAGCGAAAGCTGACTGCTCCTGCTTCTGATTTACAGCCCTGAATTCCCCACAAAGGAGGTGCTAGGACGTCTCCCAATTAGCTCTGCGTTTCTAGCAGCTATTCTAGTCTGTGCTCTGTCTCCTTTTGCTTCTCCAGAAATGTGGGCACTTGCAAGACCTCGTCACCTGATTCCTCTTCCAATTCCTGAGCACTTCCCTGCTCCCTTTCCTCTTCAAAAGAAGAGGAATTCTTAACAGGGACATAGCCACAAACAGCAACCATTTCCCTATAACAGACATGGGCAAACTTCGTCCCTCCCTCCAGGTGTTTTGGAATTCAACTCGCATAATTCCTAACAGCTGGTAGGAACTCCAAAACACCGGTAGGCTGTTATAACTGTGGGAGTTGGAGTCCAAAACACCTGGAGAAGAAGAATAAGAATTGTTATGCTGTTGTTTTATTGATGTGTTGGGCCTCGGCCTCTTGTAAGCCGCACCGAGTCCTTCGGGAGATGTTAGCGGGGTATAAATAAAGGATTATTATTATTATTATTATTATTATTATTATTATTAAGTAGTAGTAGCAGTAGTAGTAGTAGTAGTTTATTTTTCTTCCCCGCCTCCATCTCCCCAAAGGGACTCGAGGGGGCTTACATGGGGCCCAAGCCCAAGGCAGAATACAATTAAAAACAAAGCACAAACAATTAAGACAGCACAAAGCAACGTAAAACACCATAACAATAATAGCTAGCAACAACAATAACAGCAGACTAATTTTGGAGGGGGGAGGAAGGACCACTACATGAACTAGTTAAAAGATAAGTGGTTTAGTAAGGTGGATAACAATGTATAACAGCATAGGAAATATGGAAACAGAGTAAATTAACAGGATCAGTTAATATAGTATAGGGCATCAGATTGAATGACAATTCAAGTCATGATGCAGGTCGGTTGTCATAGAAGGTCCACAGTTTGCCCATGCCTGCTTATAACATATTGTCTGAAGCTGGGAAATGCATTGTACTGGGAAAGCCCTCCAAGCTCAGCCAAAAAGGGACAGATCCTCCTTTTCCTCCCACAGATTTCTAAAAACTCTTGTTAAGCTTCAGCTCAAATTATGCAGAGAACTGGCAGGCAAAATGGGGCCCCTCTGGTGAATAGGAAGTGGGTGGGTATTTGGGGGTACTTTATTCACTATACTTTACACTGTACTATTTGATTTTTTATTTTAGTTTTAAACTATGATCAGATTACGTGGTTGTTAGCCACCTTGAGTCCCCACAGGGAGAGAGGGGGAGGCATGCAAGAGATAGGGTGCAGCTGGATTTAAGTATTTGCCCTCTTTGGCTGTGGATGCTGCTGTCGTGTCCGACCCCCCCCCCCCCCCCCCAAAGTTTCTGGATTTTCTGTATCCTGACCTGTTTCCTGAATTCTTGGAACCTTGAATCTCTGGACTGGCTTTTGACTACAGTGTAGACTCTTGATCCTTGGACTTTAATCATTGAACTCTCAGTGTTTGACTACTGGACTGAACCTTTTGACTACAGTGTTCTCCTGAACCGGCATCAGAGTTTGCTACCAGTTTTGTTTTATATTCTGTAGCTAAGTGCTATCTTTATGTTTTATATTTGGACTATGAAAACAGTCAGACAGTGCTGAATATCAAGCAAAAAGTGGACGCTAGAAACAATATCATACGAAAGTTGACTGGCACAACCTGGGGATCACAACCAGATACAGTGAAGACATCTGCCCTTGCGCTATGCTACTCTGCTGCTGAGTACGTATGCCCAGTGTGGAACACATCTCACCACGCTCAAACAATGGATGTGGTTCTTAATGAGACATGCCGCATTATCACAGGGTGTCTGCGCCCTACACCACTGGAGAAATTACACTGCTTAGCCGGTATTGCACCACCTGACATCCGCCGGGAAGTAGCAGCCAATAGTGAAAGGACCAAGGTAGAGACATCTCCAGCCCATCCCCTGTTTGGGTATCAGCCAGCACGTCAACAACTTAAATCAAGAAATAGTTTTCTAAGATCTACAGAGACACTCGCTGGAACACCTCAGCAAGCGAGAGTCCAAAAGTGGCAGGCTCAAGCCCAGAACCTCAATCAATGGCTGATACCAAATGAGAGACTCCCCCTGGGCACACAGAAAACTGGGCAACTTGGAAGGCGCTGAACAGATGCAGAGCCAACCTTCAGAAATGGGGCCACAAAGTGGAATCCACGACATGCGAGTGCGGAGAAGAGCAAACCACTGACCACCTGCTGCAATGCAACCGAGCCCTGCCACATGCACAAGGGAGGACCTTCTTGTGGCAACACCAGAGGCACTCCAAGGGGCCAGATACTGGTCAAAGGACATTTAATAGAATACCAAGTTTGCAAATTTTGTGTTTTGTTTGTCTATTTTTTAATGCAATACAACTGGTTTGGTTCACTCCTAACATGATCAATAAATAAATAAATAAATAAATAAATAAATAAGTGCAGTTTTAATTAAACAGTTTAACACAAGCTGGGTGTTTGTTTGGGTTCAGCTCTGCCGGTACGCAGGCAGAGGTGAACCAAAACAAACATGCAGCTTGTGTCAAAGTAGCATCGTGACAGAGAGCATGACTCACGGTTTGGGGGCAACCGGCGCAGGCAGGAATCCGTAGTCCATAGACTCGTTCCGGAGGTCCTTGGCTTCTCCGGAGGTGCTCAGGCGCTCCCCGCTGTGGGCCAGGAGCCAGCTGGGCCCCCATCCGACGCGGAAGGAGCGGCCCATGAAGAGGCCCATGTCCTTCAGCAGCCGCCCCTTCCCGCAGGCCACCGACTTCTCCAGGGGGACCAGCGACAGGTGCCTGCGGGTGCCGACCGTCTTCAGGGTTGCCTCGGGGGCCTGGCCGGGCGCTGCAAAGACCGGGGTCAAGGGCGAGAGGGCCGGCCAGGGCAGCGAGGGAGGCGGACCCGCCAGGGAGGAGGACCTCTGGGGACGGCCGTCCTGGAGGAGGGAGGAGACCCCCGACAACCTTGACTGCAGCAGCCCACCGACTGAGGGGAGACCGGGACAGAAGGGGTCAGCGTTAGGAAGGCAAACTTCAGAAAACAGAGGAGGCAAAGCTAGAAACACCACAAACAGGGGACTGCGAGAGCGGCTTTCTCTAAACCCGACATTTGGACTGAATGTGGGTGTTGTGTGGTTTCCGAGCTGTATGGCCATGTTCTAGAATTATTTATTATTTATTTCACAGTTTTCTATACCAAGCTTCTCAACCTCGTCGAGGGACTCAGCCCGGTTTACAGCCATAAAAACATATACATTCATTAAAATATCATATATCACAAATTACAAAACAACTTTAAAAACACTAAATATAAAACTACAGTGGTCAGTCGTCCTAATAAGATGGATCTATATCCACTTCCATCCAGAGTCCTATGGTGTTGTCTCATTCCTCGAAGGCCTGACTCCACAGCCACGTCTTCACCCGTTTCCTAAATGTTAGGATGGATGGGGCGGTTCTGGCCTCCAGAGGGAGAGAGTTCCAGAGTCGCGGGGCCACCACCGAGAAGGCCCTGTCCCTCGTCCCCACCAGGCGCGCTTGCGAGGCTGGTGGGACCGAGAGCAGGGCCTCTCCAGATGATCTTAGTAATCTTGATGGTTCTACTGTCTAAGCTTTGCTGATGTGGGTTTACCTATTTATTTATTTATTTATTATTTATTTATTTACAGTTCTTATATTCCGCCCTTCTCACCCCGCAGGGGACTCAGGGCGGATTACAGTCAACACATATATGGCAAACATTCAATGCCAGTTTGACAAACAACATTTAACACACAAATACACCAAGGCTATTTAACTTTTTTTCTGGCCGCCAGGGGAGCTGCTGCTTTTCATCGTCCATCAACGACACCGATGAAGTTCTTCCGCATTCCACATTCCCCGGAGTCTTCTTTCTTTATGGCCTCATAAATTAGTTAAATTTAGCCTCCCACACAAGGTGGTACCTTATTTTCCTACTTGACAGATGCAACTGTCTTTCGGGTTGCAAAGGTCGACAACGGGCTACACAATGGCTGGACACCCACTCCAGCCCGGGCTGGCTTCGAACTCATGACCTTTTGGTCAGAGTGATCTTAATGCAGCTGACACTCAGCCAGCTGCGCCACAATCCCGGTGTCAGGGCTTTATAGGTCAACACCAGCACTTTGAATTGTGCTCGGAAGCTAATTGGCAGTCAGTGGAGCTGGCGTAACAGAGGAGTGGTGTGCTCCCTGTACCCAGCCCCCGTTAGTAATCTGGCTGCCGCGCGTTGGACTTGCTGCAGCTTCCGGGCAGTCTTCAAAGGCAACCCCACGTAGACAGCGTTGCAGTAATCTAAGCATTTTCTCCTGGAGTTTCGCCTGCCTCTGTGGCTGGCCTCTTCAAAGGATCTGATGGTAATAAAGCAAGTGCGGTCTATACACCTGTGGAGTGTACAGGGTGGGAGAAAAGCCATGGCCTATTAACCAAGTGTAAAGGGTGCAATTTGCAAGAGTTGAGTGAGATCCACCAATAATAATAATAATAATAATAATAATTATTATTATTATTATTATTATTATTGGGTTGTTGTAGGTTTTTTTTCGGGCTATATGGCCACCAGGAATTCCTTAACCTTCCTAATGCCTCGACCTCTTAATACAGTTCCTCATGTTGTGGTGACCCCCAACCATAAAATTATTTTCGTTGCTACTTCATGTGATTTTGCTATTGTTATGAATAGTCGTGTAAATATCTGATATGCAGGATGTATTTTCAGCCACTGGAACAAATTTGGCACAAATACCCAATAACACCAAAATTGGAATACTGGTGGGGTTGGGGAGGGATTGATTTTGTAATTTGGGAGTTGTAGTTGCTGGGATTTATAGTTCACTTATAATCAAAGAGCATTCTGAACTCCACCAGCGATGATTTGAACCAAACTTGGCTTCTATGAACAATGGAAAACACTGGAAGGGTTTGATGGGCATTGACCTTGGGTTTGGGAGTTGTAGTTCATCTATAACCAGAAAGCACTGTGGACTCATGCAATGGTGGATCTGGACCAAACTTGGCACGAATACTCAATATGCCCAAATGTGAACGCTGGTGGAGGCTGGGGAAAATAGATCTTGACATTTGGGAGTTGTAGTTGCTGGGATTTATAGTTCATTACAATCAAAGAACATTCTGAACTCCACCAACGATAGAATTGGCTCAAACTTCCCACATGGAATCACCATGACCATCAGAAAACACTGTGTTTTCTTATGGTGTTTGGTGACCCCTCTGACACCCCCTCGCGGCCCCCTCAGGGGTCCCAACCCCCAGGTTGAGAAACACTGTTCTAGAGGCATTCTCTCCTGACGTTTTGCCTGCGTCTATGGCAAACATCCTCAGAGGTGAAACGTCAGGAGAGAATGCCTCTAGAACAGTGGTTCTCAACCTTCCTGATGCCGCGACCCCTTAGTACAGTTCCACATGTTGTGGTGACCCCCAACCATAACATTATTTTCCTTGCCACTTCATAACTGTCATTTTGCCACTGTTATGAATCGTAATGTAAATATCTGATATGCAGGATGGATTTTCATTCACTGGACCAAGTTTGGCCCAAATACCCGATACGCCCAAATTTGAATACTGGTGGGGTTGGGGGGATTGATTTTGTCATTTGGGAGTTGTAGTTGCTGGGATTTATAGTTCACCTACAATCAAAGAGCATTCTGAACTCCATCAACGATGGAATTGAACCAAACTTGGCACACAAAACTCCCATGACCAACAGAAAATACTGGAAGGGTTTGGTGGATTGACCTTGAATTTTTGGAGTTGTAGTTCACCTACATCCAGAGAGCACTGTGGATTCAAACAATGATGAATCTGGACTAAACTTGGCACAAATACTCAATATCCCCAAATGTGAACACTGGTGGAGTTTGGGGAAAATAGACCTCAGCATTTGGGAGTTGTAGTTGCTGGGATTTATAGTTCACCCACAATGAAATAGCATTCTTAACCTCACCAACAATAGAATTGGACCCAACTTCCCACACAGAACCCCCATGACCAACATAAAATACTATGTTTTGTGATGGTCTTTGGCGACCCCTCTGACACCCCCTCGCGACCCCCACAGGGGTCCCGACCCCCAGGTTGAGAGAATGCCTCTAGAACATGGCCATATAGCCCGAAAAAACCTACAACAACCCAGTGATTCCGGCCATGAAAGCCTTCGACAATACATTATTATTATTATTATTATTATTATTATATACACAACAAGATAATACACACACAAAAAAATCACTATGCTGACTTTAATACTTTTCCCGAGGTCAAAAATCCGGTAATAGCAAAAAATCAAGCCAAAACGGTCTACAAGCTAGAGAGTTTCCTAAAGCTGCTGACGCGGAAAAAGGAACTAAGGCGCAGTCCCCGCTATGGGCGTTTATAGTATTGGGGAGAGTGGGCGGGGCCTCTGCCAAAATGTTTTTTTTTTACAAAATTCTAGAAGGTCTCGAACAGCTGTGCATGCGCAGAACTAAAACCCATTATGTGCAAATTTCACAGACTCCATGAAGAGGAAAGAACTCTTGTCTGCTTGAGACAAGTGTGAATGTTGCAATTGGCTACCTTAATTTGCACTGAATGGCCTTGCAGCTTCAAAGCCTGGCTGGTTGCTTTGTTGGGAGATGTCAGCTGGCCCTGATTGATTCGTGTCTGGAATTCCCTCACATTTTGAGTGTTGCTCTTTATCTACTGTGGGCAAAACGTCAGGAGAGAATGCTCCTGGAACATAGCCATACAGTGCAGAAAACTCACAGCAACCGAGTGATTCCGGCCATGAGGGCCTTCGGACAACACAATGAAAATATGTTGCACAGTTGAGGAGATGTCTTTTCTAGCAATAGCCTTTAGAAGAGGGTTCAGTCCAAATCTTGAAAGGTTTAAGACTGCGTTAATGACTCAATCGTTTATTTAAAAAGAAACAGTTTCAGAACATGACATGAATTCTTTCTCGTTCCAAACTTCTCTACACAATTTCAAAACTGTTGCATTTGCACACTGCCCTTATATCTTGTGGTATGTGGGCAAAGCATCGCAGATATTTGAGTAAGGACTACAGATTGTGGCTCTTGCTGTACCTGAGAGACGGCTCTTCTGGCCTTGCACCAAGGCGGCGATGGGGGTCCGGGGGGAGCACATCTCCAGGGAGGTGTCCAGAGGCGCGGCTTGTCTCCTCAAACGATGGTCCAGGATCAAGTCCAAGTCGTCATCGTTCACCAGCAAGGAGGCCTTCATGATCTGGAAAACAAGGGCAGATGGAAGGACCATTCACATGGTCAGCTTTAAAAAAAATCCAAAAAGTATATAGCGGGCAGGGGCAAACTGCCAGAAGGGACAGAGAGTTTCATCTACGCTGATGATCATGCCATCACCACTCAAGCAGGAAACTTTGAAATGGTTGAACAGAAGCTCCCCGGAGATTGAGGTGCTCTTAGTGCCTATTACAGGGAACATCTTCTGATTTCTAATCCATCTAAAATGCAGATGTGTGCTTTTTACCTCAAGAACACACAAGCATCTCAAACTCTGAGGCTGATCTGGGAAGGAATCCTATTGGAGCACTGCAGCACTCCAAAATACCTGGGAGTTACACTGGACTGTGTTCTGACTTACAAGAAGCACTGCTTGTCTATCAAGCAGAAAGTGGGTGCTAGAAATAATATTGTACGAAAGCTGATTGGCACAACCTGAGGATCACAACCAGACACAGTGAAGACATCTGCCCTTGCGCTTTGCTACTCTGCTGCTGTGTGGAACACATCTCACCATGTTAAAATAGTAGATGTGGCTCTGAATGAGACATGCCACATCATCATCACAGGGTGTCTGTGCCTTACACCACTGGAGAAATTACACTGTTTAGCTGGTAATGCATCACCTGACATCTGGGAAGTAGCTATCAGTAGTGATAGGACCAAGACAGTGACATCTCCAGCCCATCCCCTGTTTGGATATCAGCCGGCATGCCAATCACTTAAACCAAAAAATAATTTTCTAAAATCTACAGAAACACTCACAGGAACACCTCAGCAAGCAAGAGTCCAAAAGAGGCAGGCTCAAACCTAGAACCTCAACCCATGGCTGATATCAAATGAGAGACTCCCAGATGTACCCAGAGGAGAGCGACTAAAATGATCAAGGGTCTGGAGAACAAGCCCTATGAGGAGCAGCTTAAAGAGCTGGGTATGTTTAGCCTAAAGAAGAGAAGGCTGAGAGGAGATATGATCAGGGCCATGTATAAATATGTGAGGGGAAGCCACAGGGAGGAGGGAGCAAGCTTCCTTTCTGCTTCCCTGGAGACTAGGACGCAATGGAACAATGGCTTCAAACTACAAGAGAGGAGATTCCATCTGAACACGAGGAAGAACTTCCTGACTGTGAGAGCTGTTCAGCAGTGGAACTCTCTGCCCCGGAGTGTGGTGGAGGCTCCTTCTTTGGAGGTTTTTTAAACAGAGGCTAGATGGCCATCTGTCAGGGGTGATTTGAATGCAATTTTCCTGCTTGGACTGGATGGCCCATGAGGTCTCTTCCAACTCTAGGATTCTATGATCCTGGGCACACAGAAGACTGGGCGACTTGGAAGGTGCTGAACAGACCATCACTCATAAAAACACTGAAAAACACAGCGGAAGGGGCTTAAAAAGCAAAAAATATATACATTACAATGCAAGGCATGCACAAGACCACACACACTCAAACACACAAACACACATACACAAAACACATATACACAGACTGGGCCACAGCAACGCGTGACAGGGGCGGCTAGTGGATAGATAGATAGATAAATAAAAGGGCAAACTTTGGCCCTCCCCCTCCAGGTGTTTTGGACTCCAACTCCCTCTGGCAGAAGAGGGGCAGCAACCCCCACCCCAAGAGGCCTGTATGTGACAGGTGTGCAGGTGAGAGCAGCAAAAGGCCAGGGAATCACCTGTAAGGTGTGAGGGTTGATTTCCAGGGAGGAGGCAATGTGGGCCGAGGCTGGGACCGGCTCCTGCTCCTCCGCCAGGCCCCGCTCCTCCTCTTCCTCTTCCTCCGCTGAAGAAAAGGCCTGGGGCGCCTCCTGCGTGATGTCCGCCATGTCGCTGTCCAGCTCCATGCCCTTGGCCAGCGTCTCTGGGTCGGAGCTCTAGGAGGAACAAGGAGGAGGCATGAAGGAGAGAGTTTTGCACCCTAGTCCTGAGACATCACACCAGAGGCCAGGAGTCCAAATAGCAGAAGACAGTTCCATCTTGTCTTTACTAATTATACGATATAGTATATTACATATATATATATAATATTTATAATATTATAATGTAATACAATATAATACTAGTAATAATAATGCAAT